CATGTGCCAGTGAAGTTTGAAATAGGAGGGCAGTACAGCTCAACACGTGGCTAAACAGATAGTGTAGGAGGGAGGGTTTCAGATATCTGGACGATTGGGATCTCTTCCGGTGCAGGTGGGACCTGTACAAGAAGGACAGGTTGCATCTAAACTGGAGGGGCACAAATATTCTGGCTGGGAGGTTTGCTGGTGTCACTCAGGAGGATTTAAACTTGGCAGGGGGCTGGGAACCAAAACAAAGGTGAATTGACAGAAAGGGAACTAGAGAAAAGGGCCAGTAAGACTCAGAGAAAGAGCAGGCAGGGTGTCCTTGCTGATCAAAACAGGTCTGGTGGACTGAAGTGCTTATGGTTCAATGCAAAAAGCGTAACAGGTAGGGCAGATGAACTTAGAGTTTGGATTAGTACTTGGAACTATGATGTTGTTCCTATTACAGACACTTGATTAAAGGAGGGACAGGATTGGCAGCTTACTGTTCCAGAATAGATGTTTCTGACAGGGTAGAAGGGGATGTAAAAGGGGTGGAGGAGTGGCACTACTTGTTAAGGAGAATGTCACAGCTGTACTGCGGGAGGACACCTCAGACGGCTCATACAGTGAGGCAATATGGATAGAGCTCAGGAACAGTAAGGGTGCAATCACAATGTCTGGTGTTTACTATAGGCCTCTGAACAGCCAGCAGGAGATAGAAGAACAGGTATGTAGGCAGATTTTGGCAAGATGTAAAAATAACAGGGTTGTTGTCATGGGTAATTTTAACTTCCCATATATTGACTGGGACTCACTTAGTGCTTGGAGCAGAGTTTGTAAGGAGCATCCAGAAGGGCTTCTTGCAACAGTATGTAGATAGTCCAACTAGGAAAGGGGCCGTACTGGACCTAGTATTGGGGAATGAGCCTGGCCAGGTGGTGGATGTCTCAATAAGGGAGCAGCTTGGGAACAATGATCACAATTCAGTAAGCTTTAAGGTACTGATGGATAAAAATAAGTGTAGTTGTCAGGTGAAAGGGCTAAATTGGGGGAAGGCTAATAACAACAATACTAGGCAGGAACTGAAGAATGTAGATTGGAAGCAGATGTTTGACAGCAAATCAACATCTGGTATGTGGGAGGCTTTCAAATGTAAGTTGCTGGGAACTCCGGACCCGCACGTTCCTGTAAGGAAGGGATAAGTATGGCAAGTTTAGGGAACCTTGGATAATGAGAGGTACTGTGAGCCTAACTGAAAAGAAAAAGGAAGCATTTATCAAGACTAGTAGGCTGGGAACACATGAAACAATACAAGGGAAGTCAAAAGAAACTCAAGCAAGGAATCAGGAGAGCTAAAGGGGTCATGAAACGTCATTGGCCAACAGGATTAAGGAAAATCTCAAGGCTTTTAATACATATATTAAGACCATGAGTGTAGCCAGGGTGAAGGTTGGCCCACACAAGGACACTTAAGTGTTGATCCAGAGGAAATGGGCGAGGTATTTCAGTATTCACCATAGAGAAGGACTTGGTGGATGATGAGTCTGGGGAAGGGTGTGTAGACAGTTTGAGTCATGTTGAGATCAAAAGGGAGGTGGTATCGCGGTCTTGAAAAACATTAAGGTAGACAAGTCCCCAGGGCCTGATGGGATATACTCCAGGATACTGAGAGAGGCAAGGGAGGAAATTGCTGGAGCCTTGAGGGAAATCTTTGTATCCTCACTGGCTACAGGGGAGGTCCCAGATGATTGGAGAATGGCCAAAGTTGCTCCTTTGATTAAGAAGGGTGTCAGGGATAATCAAGCTAATTACAGGCCGGTGAGCCTTACGTCAGTGGTAGGGAAATTATTGGAGAGCATTCTTCGAGACAGGATTTACTCCCACTTGGAAATAAGTGGGTGTATTAGCGAGAGACAACATGGTTTCGTGAAGTGGAGGTTTTGTCTCATTAACTTGGTTGAGTTTTTTCAGGAAGTGACGAAAATGATCGATGAGGGTAGGGCAGTGGATATTGTCTACATGGACTTCAGTAAGGTCTTGGACAAGGTCCCTCATGGCAGGCTGATACAAAAGGTAAAGTCACACGGGGTCAGAGGTGAGCTTGCAAGATGGATAAAAACTGGCTCGGTCATAGAAGACAAAGGGTAGCAGTGGAAGGGTGCATTTCTGAACAGAGGGCTGTGACTAGTGGCGTTTCTCAGGGATCAGTGCTGGGATCTTTGCTATTTGTAACATATATAAATGATTTGGAGGAAAATGTAACTGGTCTGATTAGTAAGTTTGCCAATGACACAAAGGTTGTTGCAATTGCAGATAGCAATGAGAACCGTCAAAGGATACAGCTGGATACAGATCGGTTAGTGACTTGGGCAGAAAGATGGCAGATGGAGTTTAATCTGGAAAAAATGTGAGGTAATGCATTTTGGAAGGTCTAATCCAGATGGAAAATATACAGTAAATGGCGGAACCCTGAGGAGACAGAGATCTGTACAGGTCACTGAAAGTGGCAATGCAAGTGGAGAAGGTCATCAACAAGGCATACAGCATGCTTGCCTTCATTGGCTGGGGCATCGAGTTTAAAAATTGGCAGGTAATATTGCAGCTTTATAGAACCTTAGGCCGCATTTGGAATATTGTGTTCAATTCTGGTTGCCACTCTATTGGAAGGATGTGGTGACTTTGGAGAGGGTATAGAAACTTGGGTTGTTCACACTGGAACAACAGAGGTTGAGGGGCGACCTGATACAGGTCCACAAGATTATGAAAGGCATGGACAGAGTGGACTGTCAGAGCTTTTTCCCAGGGTGGAAAAGTTAGTTACTGGGGCCATAGATTTAAGGTGCGAGGGGGAAGGTTTAAAGGTGATGTACGAGGCAAGTTTTTTCACAAAGGGGGTGGTGGGTGCCTCGAACTCGCTGCCGGGGGAGGTAGTGGAAGCAGATATGATAATGACTTTTAAACGGCATCTTGATAAATGCATAAATAGGATGGGAATGGAGGTATACTGTCCCCGGAAGGGTAGGGGGTTTGAGTTGTAAAAACTCATAAAATAAACAAACTCCCTACGGTGTTGAGACAGGCCCTTCGGCCCAACAAGTTCACACCGACCCTCAGAACATCCCACCCAGACCCATCCATCTAATCTACACATCCCTGAACACTATGGGCAATTTTAGTATGGTCAATCCACCTGTCCAATGCACATCTTTGGACTGTGGGAGGAAACCGGAGCACCCGGTGGAAACCCACGCAGACATGAGGAGAATGTGCAAACTCCACACAAAAAGTTGCCCGAGGGTGGAACTGAAACTGGGTCCCTAGCACCGTGAGGCAGCCGGGCTAACCACTGAGCTACCATGCCATCACTTCTTTACAGTTCCTAATACAGAGGTTGAAGACGTTGCTGTCCTGAAGGATTCCCTCCCAGTTCCTTCTAGACAAATGGAGTTTAGAAATTTCTGTCTTTTGGTCTAAATGTGATGGGCAGCATGTCAGTGCAGGCTTGGAGGGCCGAAGGGCCTGTTCCTGTGCTGCAATTTTCTTTGTTCTAATCACATAGGCTTCCTTAGCCAATGTATTCTATCCCTTTCCCTCAACATTTATCCCCTCAAACAACTATGGTGTCTATCAATCATTACATTCCCCTTAAAATCCATGTTGATTTCCTCCATTTTCTTTTAGTTTAAAAATGAAACTACCATATCTAAAGAGTCTAAAATTAACTTAAACATTAAACCAATTGGCCAGTGGTTACTCCGTTTTGTTCTGTTGTCTTGTTCAGAGATGGGTACTGAAATGGCCATTTTGCCATCCTGTAGCACATAATCCCACTTACAAGAGCTTGGAAAAATAATTTCCTGGACTGCTGCAACATCCTCCCCCTTCAATCTGAGAATGTAATCTGTAAAGCTGTGGTACTTCTTATAAACCTTTTGTTTTCTTCATAATATTATCAATCTTATTATCAATCATCTTGTTTTTAGTTATTTCAGGATTCATCTGATTTTTGATAAAGACTGATGGACATTACTTATTAGATGTTTTCTATTTTCAATAATCTACAAGTTGTTTGAAGTAGTTAAGAAAAGGATTATCAAACTTTAATGTTTCTTGTCATAATTTTTTGGATGTGTCTTCATACATTGGCTTATCCTTCCTGCTCTTGCTATTCACCACTTACGTGTGTTAGAATATCAATCTTCATGGTCAACACAGTGTGAAGCCGGAGGAACATAGCAAGTCAGGCAGCATCAGGAGTAGGAGAGTTGACGTTTCAGGTCAGGACCCTTCTTCAGAACTGGGCTTTTTCTTTCTGGAGGGTGGAGGACAACTTCTTCAAGGTGGGCAAGCTTCTCTCAAAGATACCAAAAACTGCAGATGGTGGAGTCACAGTCAACAGTGTGGAGCTGGAGGAACACAGCAGTTCAGGCAGCAGAGGAGTAGGAAAGTCGATGTTTTGGGTCTGGACCCTTCTTCAGAGGCTTCATGGTCCCCATTCTTCTTCCATCACAGCTAAATCAACCCCTAACATTTTAAACTGGTGTTCTAATTTTTGTACTGGCATTTTTCCTTTCTAGTTACATGCAATGCTGGGTTAAATTTGAAAGCAAAAGTACTAACAGTTTTGCATGTAAATGGTTTGTGCTGCCACTGATAGTCATTTAATCTAGTTACAGCTAAATTGAAAATGGATAGAAATAGAAAGAGCACCAAATGAACTCAATGCTCCTTGAACTGAAGAGCAGGTATGCTTCAATAACTTCTAATTTTTCAAAAACCAAACAAACAGACCAAAGGACTGTGGTAGATGTTAAAAACAAGGTGCAGCAATTAAACTGACAGTTTCTGCAAGCTTAATGAGCTAAGCATCCATTGTGTTGCAAAAGGAAAGCATCTTGCCAGTTAGTGCTAAATATTTTGAAAATATTTTTTCAAATTTTAATGTATACTTTATTCAGAAATAAATTTTAGTAGTTGAATAAACAAAATTGTCTTCAAGTCAATAGGTTTAATTGATAGCCAACTCTCACTTCAGGCCACTCCAAATAGTTACAATGGGTCAAAAATCTCCACAGAACAGAAATGTACAGTGAACAACAGAATACCTGACAGTACTAAACATGTTTAGTATAAAAAGACAGAAGGTACATAACATTTACAAAATATGAAAGACTTGTAAAACTGAGTCACGTGTTTTAAACATGAAAAGCATTCGCAAACAATATGATATTCACTCCAAGTTTTAACTAGGGACAAGAAACTTGAAAATAATATTTTGTACATATATCTTAAACATACAAAATTTGATACTTTTATCACAAATTTCTTTTATCAATATAGGAGGTTTGTTTTAGTTTTAGGAAATATTTCAGTTTCATCACTAACGAAGTTTAAGATTTTTTTAAATCTTATATAAGCTTATATTTTTCATTGATTCTCACTAGATAACATGAAGGAAGTACTGACCTGCTAAACTCTGGAACATGTGATCCCTAATTTAAGTTAAAATTGGAATTGTCATTTACTATTTTCTATACACAAAAATGATTTTTATTTTGGTGTCACAGTATTAAATCACAAACCCAAGTTGGTGCCAGATTACCAAACAAGGTCCAGCATGGTTAAAACACACTTTAAAGAAAAGCTCTAGTTAACCTATATTTTATGGAGCAAACAACTCCATTATTCAGTTCACAGCAGACTCACCATTTTACCTAAAATAATCTTCAAAATGAGCACTTTTTCAGAACAGTTGTTTCAAAGAATACCAATTGTAAACACTGAAACCAATTAAATATTACTTGGATTAGATGGGCAAATCAGAAGTATAGAACTTTCAAGGTAGATATTAATTAAATCAGGGAAAAACCTGTGCACGATTTGTTTTTCACTGAGAGAAAAACAATCTTTAATTCTCCCAAGATGCAGGTATTTCAGGCAGTGCAAAGCATTCAAACAGAATTTATGGGTAAAAGGCACCCAGAATTTACAAAAACATCAATGCTTAGATGAGTACAAAAATGCAAGTTATTTCAATTCAAAATGATGCTAGCAACTTAATATACTCTGAAAAATACAAGTTGCTTATAACCTCCAGTTTCATTTGTGAACAAAGCCATTATTAGTTTAGTGGCTAAATTAAAAAGATGCAATTTCAACTTATTAAAAATAGACCCAATAAATTACTGTGGGTCACAGTTCAATTTTTTTTGTGAAACTATAAGACACTGTAAAAGAGAAGGTTAAAAATGTTGGATGGAACTGAGTTTTAGAGAGCTGAAGGGATTTTTCAAGTATTTAGCCCTACAGTAATGGCAAAAGTCAGCTCATCCATGTAAAATGGTGTGGATATAAAATATAGGATCAGAATCACATGATATGTAGTGAAATCTCAATATTTGGTCAAGAGAACCTCCCCAAGTACTCTGATATGCATTTTCCTTGTCTAACAAATAATTGAAATTCTACTACAATGTGATATCTTCTACCACGATGATAAAATCTATATTTCCTACAGTTATGGTAAAGCTTCATTTAAACTTTTCTGTAGCTGGTTATAGACATGAATTTTTAAATAAGAATACTGCAAGTATTGCTCACAGCAAGTTGACACCACTATATTTCTCTTTGCGAATTAAATCAAAAACGCAAGGAAAATAAAAAGAAAATTACTGAAAATTTGAAACAAATACAGGGAATATGAAGCAAATGGCTATTCCTTCCACAGATGCTTGTTGATATGCTACATGTATCATGTTTCTTTTGTTGCAATCGTCTGTTTGAAAGAGTGTTTCAAGATAAGAAACAATATAAACCAGGGTTCCACATTTTCTTTACATTTAGATTTGGGACTGAAAAAAATATTCTGTTATCAATATGAAGATATCCTAATTGAGGTAAATTTACTACTTTTAATTGGCATTAGCTTTCTTATTTAATTCAGTCTTCAAGGTGATCATAAAAAAGGCAAAAAGAAAAGAATAATTTTGTGGTTCAAATGGTATCTTAAACCAATTAAGTTTCACTTTAAAAACTAATGCAGTTGGAACCTATAAAGTAAGTTATATTAGGATACACTCACCGTAAGTTTGCGCATTAGAAATAAATACGTCAGAGAAATATGAAGCGGGTCTACTGTCAATCAAGTAGATACAAGAGTGATTCAACTGGAATGTGACCAGGAACACACTTTTTAGTGCTTCCAGTAGGAAAATGGATTTTAGTTTTACATGATCAAAAGTGCTATATGACAAGACCAACAATAATAAATGTAGCCCATGCTTAAGGATCAACACAATAAAGATATTAGCAAAGATCAGATTTGAAGATCATTTTGTTTTATCCACCCTGTAAACAGGACCAGTTACTTCACTTCAGATGCTGCTGGACTACTACTTCTAAACTGTAAATCTGTGCACTCTTTTCTCCTGAAAGAGAAAGGCAAAACAAGTTAGCAAATTTAAAATGTTTTGACATTGCCTTTCTGCAATGACTTAAATACAACTAATATTAGACTAACTCAAGACATTAACAGCGTTTTTAAAAAAACTCAGACTTGCAGAGACTAGTTCAGTATCTTGCATGATGACTCAAGAGGTATAATATTTCATTGCTTTAACACTGCAATGTCTCGTACAAAGGCAAATTATGAAGACGTATTTACATTGTGTCTTTAGTGATACATCTCAAGTTGCCTCACAGGAACATTACAAAACAAAAAAATGACACCAAAACAAATAAGGAACTATTAGATCAGATGATGAAAATGTTGTTCTGACATTAGTTTTAAGGCATGTATCAAGCAGGAAAACAACGTGGAGGGACAGGGAAGAATTGCAGAGCTTTGGCAACCAAAGGCATGACTGCAGTAGAGTAATTAGATCAAAGATGGCCAAAAAAACAAAAGATAGATCACTGTGGGTATCTCTGAAGATCATGTGACTGGAGAATACAGGAAGGGGGAGAGGCCATGGAAGGATCTTAAAATAAAGATCAGAATTTTAAAATCAAAACATTGTTTCACCAGTGCTAAAAAGATCAGTGAGCCTGGATGCTGATTGAATGGATTTGGTGTGTGTTTAGACATGAGTAGAGTTTGGGATGACATCAAGCTTACAAACGGTAAACTTGGGAGGCCAGTCAGGACAGCATTGAGGCCTCTAGATTTAACTATTCAAAAGAAATGAATTGAGGGCTTTCATAGGAGATGAGAGTTGAGAATATAGCACTGGATTATATAGTCAATGGATTAATAAAATTTAAAAACATCGAAAGGTGATATGGTGTCAATATCTGACATTTCTGCTTAAATTTGGAAAGAAAAAATTGGACATTTTTCCAAGATACAGATACAAAGTTGTATACAGGATATTTATTTCTTGACCAAAACTGACTCCAAAAGTGTTACATTTGAGTCACTTTACATTCTATTTCTGTCAATATTGACATGCAACTCTGTATTGTCATCTATTAAAATGCAGTTACGGGTTTTGACCATTGAGTGCTTTTGTGGTACAAATACGAAGAGCATCTGAACTATTTGTCAAATTGGGCCACCAACAATTTTTTTTGTTTACTTTGTGCATGGCATATAAAGAAGCAGCTCACATGTTCAGACTGCCCAAAGTTGGTGTCAGATTACCAAAATGAGCTCAGTCTGCAAAGGACTACTAGAATGCTGTGCGGCTTAGAAGGAAGATGCTGGAGACATTTTTCGTTTTATCTTTCTCAGGAGACAAGATTTCTTTCTAATTTTGTTACAATTTAATCTTGGCATTGGTCTGGCTCCCGATCCAGCTTCCAGCTCTGTTCCTTTGGCTGCTATTTGGTTTTTGGTCTCTGAATATTTAACAGTTGCTCTTCCCCGGCACTGCACAAATCTAATTAAAGTATTTGGATATTTAGCACCCATCCATTTTTCTTCATGGCCAACATATGCTCTTAGTCCCACGTGATCCTTTCAGCAACTTTGCGGCTCAGCCTTCATGCTCATTCTGGGGTTTCTTACAGTTGCTGTCTATATGCTTGCTTCTCCCGCTGACCCCTATCCTCTGTGAGCCTCTCAGTAACTCTACAATACATATACCCACAAGCTAACTTTAATGGCTGTTGGCTGCTGACAATTAGGATTTCATTGAACAAGCACCATTTATAAAATGCCTTTAAGATGGATGTCTCAGAAGTAGCAGATAATCAAAATAAACAGAGACCAAGGAGGAGAAATTAGGAAAAGGTGACCAGAAGCTTAATGATAATCAGGATTTCAAGGAGGGCCTTAAAAGGTGTAAAGTACAGTGAGTAAGAATAGGGCCTAAACTGCTGAGGAAACAGCCACCAACTGGCAGGGGGAGGTGGGGGGGGGAAGAGCGGGATTGACAAGAGATGACAGAATAATGATAGACCAGAATTTAACAGAGTTCAGTCGGGTTTGGACATAGGGCAGAAGAGGGGTAAGACAGGCAATATTGGAGGTGGAAATAGGTAGTCTTTCTGATGGAAGAATATATGGGACCACAAGTGAACAGTTTGGTTTAGCCGGAGAATACAGCATAGAAGGGTAGATAAACAGGATAGAGCATGATAGATCTTCAGGGGATTCTGAGTGATGTCACAAGTTGGGAAGAAAAGCCGTTGTTGAAATTTTGTGGTTATGCTTGAATATGCAAGAGTAAAGCAAAGTAAATTCAACGCATTTAGATAACAGGAGCCAGGCAGTGGTGAAGGATGGGGTGGTCAAGACTGCTGAGGTTGAAGCTAGTGTCAGGGGGGATGCCATTCTCAAATCTGTAGGACTGTTTTGGTGTTGCGATGGGGACTGTAACCTGAGAAAATTCAAAAGAGGGTTGTAAGTAAACAGTCTGGGAAGTGGTGGCGACAAATTCTAGGACATTGGAGTAGAAAGAAACTTACCTAAGAATTCAGAATGATTTAAAATGTTATTTAGGAAGGAAGAAATGGAGATTCTGTGGCCGCAAACGGGAATCCAGGATGGTGTTCAGTCACTCGGAGCTAGGAAGAACTGGATGAAGGATGTAAACCCGAAACATCAACTTTCCTGTTCCTCTGATGCTGCCTGACCCATGTTTCCACAGCTCCACACTGTATTGATCCAGGATGGTGTGTTGCCTCCTGGGTGCCAGGGTCCAGACATCTCGGAGCAGCTGCAGAATATTCTCAAGGGGGAGGTTGAACAGCCAGAAGTCATTGTGCACGTTGGCACAAATGACATATGTAGATACGGGGATGAGGTCTTGCGGACTGATTAAAGAGAACTAGAAATAAAGTTAAAAACCAGGACCTCAACAGTGGAGATAGATACAGTAATCAGAAATAGCAAGTTGAAGAGACAGGTCAGGCTTGAAAACAACAGGGAGCGAGGAATGCCTGTTGGATTAAATTGTATCTATTTCAGTGCAAGATGGCTGATGAACTCAGGGTGTGGATAGGTATGTGGGACTAGGATATTATAGCTATTACAAAAACATGGCTAAGGGAGGGACAGGATGGGCAGCTTAATGTGCCGGGGTACAGCTGCTTAGATGGAACAGAAGTGGAGGTAAGAGGAGAGGGGGAGTCGCATTTTTGATTAAGGGGAGTATCACAGATGAAATAACTAAGGAATCATCCAGTAAGGCTTTGTGGGTGGAGCTAAGAAATAAGAAGGGGATGGTGATGCTATTGGGGTTGTACTATAGTCAACAGGAATTAATGGAACAAATATGCAGGGAGTCTGGGGAGACTTGCAGGAGCAAGAGTTGTCATAGTAGACAATTTTAATTTTCCTAATATAGACGGGGACTGCCATAGTGGTAAGGGCTTAGATGGGGTGGAATTTGTTAAGAGTATATATACTGCAATGTACAAGCAGTGTATAGAGGGTCCTACTCAGGAAGGGGCAAAATTTGACCTACTCTTGGGAAATAGGACAGGTGACTGAGGTGACAGTGGGGGAGAACTTCGGGACCAGTGATGATAGTTCTACTAATTTTAAAATAGTTATGGAGAAGGGCAAAACTGATTCACAGTTTAAGTTCTAAATTGGGGCAAGGTGAATTTTGATGGAATTAGACAGGAGCTTGCAGGGTTTGATTGGAGTAGTTTGTTTGCAGACAAAGTGACCTCTAGCAAGTGGGAGGCCTTTATAAGTGTGATAGCCAGACTTCAGGGTCTATATGTTCCTGTGAGGGTGAAGGGCAAGGTTGGCAGGAGTAGGGAACCCTGAATGACTAGAGATATTGAGGGTTGGACCAAAAATAAAGCCAAGCCTCCTCCTTAGGTACAGGCAGCTAGGATCAAGGGAATCCCTGGAGGTATATAGGGGATACAGGAGTTTACTGAAGGAGGCACAAGACAGTTTTGGCTGAAAAGATTAGGGTAAATCCAAAGAGGTTCTTTAAGTATATTGAAGGAAAAAGAATAATGAGAGAGAGAGAATAAGACCCAAGGACAAAAGTGAACACATATGCTGTGGTTGGTTCGCTTGCCAACTGGTTCATTAGTTCACAGACATGTGATTACGCTGCTGGGTAACATCGTCAGTGCAGCCTCCGAAGAAGCGCTGTTTTCCCACCTCGTATTTAAACTCTGGGGTTGGTTGGAATTGGTTACCTCATTTCTGGTTTTTCTTCGCAGTGATGTACATATAGGGTCTAGTTCTATGTGTTTATTGATGGCCTTCTTGGTGGAGAATGAAGCCTCTAGAAATTTCCGTGCTTGTCTTGGTTTGGCCTGTCCTAGGATCTTGATGTTGCCCCAATTGAACTGGTGGTTCTCCTTATCTGTGTGAATGGAGACAAGTGAGTACTGGTCATGTCTTTTTGCTGCTAGTTTGTGTTCATGTATTCTTGTGGCCAGTTTCCTTCCTGTCCAATGTAATGCTTATTGCAACAAGATTCCATGCAAAGACTGCGACAAACATCGTCAGTGCAGCCTCTGACGAAACATAATGGAGAACCACCAGTTCGATTGGGACAACATCGTGATCCTAGGAAAGGCCAAACAGAGACAAGCACGGGAATTTCTAGAGGCTTTGTTCTCCACCAAGAAGGTCATCAATAAACATGTAGAACTAGACCCTATATGTACACCACTGCGAAGAAAAACCAGAAATGAGGTAACCAATTCCAACCGACCCCAGAGTTTAAATACCAGGTGGGAAAACGCAACAGCGCTTCATCAGAGGCTGCACTGATGATGTTACCCAACAGGATAATGAAACATCTGTGAACTAACGAACCACAGAATCCACAACCTGAGCTACAAATCTACTCAAGAACCTGAGTGGACATGTATGTGTGGAACTGCAGGAGATGGACGAGGTCCTCAATGAATATTTCTCCTGTGTTTACAATGGAGAAAGACACAAAGACATGGGAACTTTGGGAAGTTAGTGGTGATATCTTGGGGACAGTCCATATCACAGTAGAGG